TCCCAGTGAGGTAGGAAAATACTACTATCCCCATTTTACAGATGGGGAATGGTGGCACAGACAGACAAAGTCACAGAGGCTAGGTCTTCCTAATCCTAGCCCTAGCCCCTGGACTGTCCTTCCTCTCTGCCCTCAGAGTACAGAAAAGAGGCTAAACCAACCCTGAACTTTGCAGGAGTGACTCAGGCTCAGAAACAAAATTCCAGATCAGAATGTCACAACTGGTTTCTTTCTTCATAAGAGGCTGAGCCAAAACCCAGGTAGGACCAGGTTTCTTTGCACAAGGTGCTGTACATACATAATCACATGGCCCATCGCCCTGGTAATAAACGCCATCCCACAGTTTGCCCAGGCTTGTTCATCCCTCATGGGGGATGATCACCTGCAAGGGGGTTCAGCTACCTTCTCAAGCCCTAGGCTCTTCATCCTGCATAGGCCTAGCTGACTGAGGAAGGATGGTCATAAGTAAGACTCCCACATCTCAACTCAGACGTGATTTCCATCTATAGCCCCTGCTTCTCATATGCAGGGACAACGTCCAGGATCTGCAACCAGAGGATAGCCTCTGTGTCACGGGAGGGGAGATGTTGCAAACGGCCCTCCAGCTGTCCAGCTGGGACCCTCTTCTGTGATACTGTCCCCCAGTCACAGCATGGAGAGAAAACCAGGCTGCTCTGCTGCATAGTTACAAAAACGCCATTAGCCAGAGAGTAGCCTGTTGAGTCTGGTCCAGGCTCTACACGCAAGTTGACAAGGAGGCAGGATTTCAGAGCCCAGCCTCCAGCCTGAATGGGAGTATCTACACTGCTATTTTTAGCTCTACAGCCCAAGCCCCGCAAGCCTGAGTCAATTGACCTGGGCTCAGACTCGGCAAAGAAATACCCATGTTGCTATGTAGACATACCCTTCCTGTGTTATGCCCTCTTTCCCACCGGTGCTTACACTCCAAGAATGCAGCTTTTCTGGTCCCCAGTAGAAGCATGACTCATCAGCCAGCCCGCCCCATCGTGGCTCCCCTCTTCTGGCTCCCCTTACTGACAGCCGCTCCAGCACTCCAATGGTGTGCTTCTTCTTGTGACTCAGCCTCTAGCCAGGGCATGCTCTGTTCCACCACTTCTGAGGTAGCAGGGCCCACTTCTCGCCCACAAAAAAAAAAAAAAAAAAAAAGGTCCAACAACTTCCCACAAGGCCTTCAGCCCAACTCAGAGCACATTGGTTCCTAACCCACTTATATTAGGACACTTTCACACCACCATCCCTAGTGTCCTGTAGGGGAACCCAGGCCCTGCCTCTACTGTGGGTTCCAGCCCAGATAATGGCATAGAGAGAGTACACTTGTAAAGTTTGCGGACGATACCAAGCTGGGAGGGGTTGCAAGAGTTTTGGAGGATAGGATTAAAATTCAAAATGATCTGGACAAACTGGAGAAATGGTCTGAAGTAAACAGGATGAAATTCAATAAGGACAAGTGCGAAGTACTCCACTGAAGCAGGAACAATCAGTTGCACATATACAAACTGGAAAATGACTGCCTAGGAAGGAGTACTGCAGAAAAGGATCTGGGGGATCCCCTTCTGTCCTTTCCCAGGGGCTCTGCGGGCCCTTTGCCAGTGCCCCCTTCTTGGGGGGGAGGGGGGGGAAGTATCCCACAGCCTACTCTCCCTCTGGGCCTCTTGCCTCCCTTCTTCTGCCTTAAAGTCCTTCCCTTAGCAGTCACCCTACTCCTCTCAGCTGGGACTGATCCTAAATTGGGCATGGCCCCAATCTGCTGCACTAATTGCTCTGACTCCAGTTAATGTTTCCCTCAAACATTGTAGGTTATACACACACCATCCTACCCCTGAACTGCACCAGTGTGGAAGGGGATAGTCACCTGAAATGCAGAGAAGGAGAGGGGGGCAGAAGATAAGGGCAGAACAAAGAGGAGGAAGTAGGGAATCAAAGGGAAACTGCAAAAGCATAGTGTGACCCTACCCGGAATGCTAGAGGAGTTTTAATTGTTTGTTTGTGTTTTTAAAAAAAAAAAAAAAAAACAAACACCACCACCCATCAGGGGGGACAATTAGGGGGGGGAAAGGGAGGGGGGGGGGGGGGAGGGAGGAGGAAGGCAAAGAGTTGAAATCTCAAGGGCCAGCAGCAGCTCTTAGACTCTCTCCTGCTGCCTTAGTAACTACAGAGAGAGCAGCAGCCTGAGGGGCTTTTCTCCCAGCCTTTGGGGGAAGACAGATGATCCAGGTGCTCTGCTGCTCTCACCCTGCTGTTTGTTCTCTTTCCCCATGGCAGAGCTGTCACCCCTGTTGGCTATGACCAAGAGAAATGTGAGTCTGTTTTCGACGTGGAATCCTGCAGCTACCAGGTGAGGGGGAAAGTCAACCCTCTCCAGAGCTGTGAAGTTGAGAGCTGGGTGATTTAGCCACAAGTCCTTTTCTGAGGCATGTTTATTGTGACAAAAACAAGCCTTAAAATTTTAAGCACAGTCAACCCTTGAGAATCATATTGTAACAAAGCAAAGCAATGTATAGCTGTTAAGCCATAATAATTTTGATGTATGATGAGCTCAGTCCTGGATGACTCTATTTTGCTTCTGATGGGTGAACCTGCTTCCTCACCTCCTCCTTTCTAGAGGAGTCTATTGCTAGTGGTCCACCCCTCCTTTCAGTGCAGGAGGTGGATAGGAGAGAGGAGACTGCCTCATCCCAGCAAACAAGGAAGGACACATTGGCTGAGAAAGGATTAAACATGAGTCAAACACAATAGGTCTCAAACCTCTCACTGGCTTCTGTATCCACCTCAGTTCTGAATTTTTGAACCCCTAGACATAGTTTGAGAGCTACTTGCCTCAGAGCCACTAGATGGCACCTTCGCTCTGTACTGTAGTATTTCCCAAACCCTACTTGCAAACCCAGGCCCTGCTCTTGTAAACATGCACTTGCTTAACCTTGAGCACATGGGTAGTTTTATTTGCATTTAGATAGACTGACATAGATGAATGCTTACAGGATCAGGGCCTGCATTTTTTTTTTTTTAAAGATACTTTTAGCTTACTGTACTTAATAAAGCCTCCAAGCAGATACAGGCGGAATTGTGATGACTGTTCTATCCCAGAAGAATGACCAAGATGAATTGCACCTTAGAGCAGAGCAGGAGGACAAAGCAGCAACATCTCACTTCAAAAAAACTTAATTCAGGAATTAAAATATTAGCACAAAACTCAGCCTAACAGAAAACTATTAGAGGAGTCAGGGAATTTGCTTTTAGAACCATGTCATAACAACCTGAGTCAATGGAAAAGAATAATGAAATCCCATTATGCTAGTTGAAGCAAGTGGGCACAGCTAGAGCTGGTATGGTTCCATTCTACCATCCCCTTCCAATTCAGGCCCCTAGAGGTGTAGTTTCCAGTGGTCCGTCTGCTCTAGGCATGAATGTACCAAGTCATAGGGCTGTCACCACTTCCTTTAGAGAGAGTTCCATAGTTCAGTCAGCCTCCCCATCAGGGACTTTAAGAAAGCTAGTCTGCTTCTAGTTATGTCTCCTTCCCTCCAGCTAAAAGGTCTTCCCTCCCTCACACCAGAGCTTTTACACCCAGATCCTTCTATTAGAAGGGGGCTCCAGACAACTTTTAATCCAATTTTCAGACAACTTTAGACTATCTTCTCTCCCTTGTTGTAGACTTACCACCTAGCATTCCTTTACATCTTCTCCAAGTAAAGAGCAAAGAGTTAGGCATGTACAAGTGATTCCCTCCAACCTGCTAATGAATTGTCTGTCTCCTCTGAGCTCCCTCCCTTGGCCAGTGAGATACCAAGAATGTCATTCCAGAGGTGGTTCTTCCTGAGCCATTTAGGAGATGCTCTTACTCCGTCATGCCATGCGATGCCTCTGCAGCCCCCAGCTGTACTGACCAGGGCCGCCCAGAGGATTCAGGGGGCCTGGGGCAAAGCAATTTTGGGGGCCCCTTCCATACAAAAAAGTTGCAATACTATAGAATACTATATTCTCATGGGGGCCCCTGCAGGGCCTGGGGCAAATTGCCCCACTTGCCCTCCCCCTCCCCCCCCCGAGCAGCCCTGGTACTGACCCTTCTGCTGCCATCATTACAATCCGTCATCCCTAGCTCTCTCATTTAATGCCAGTATTTTCTTGTTCCCCCAAGATCAGCACCAAGCTAGAATAGCTGCACTTCTGTCAGAGGATCATCTCTAGGGTGGGTGAGTGCACGTGGATTGTTTTTCCTATCCTCTTAGTTTAACATCCCCTGTTAATTAACATGCCGGCTGCTCCCTCTTCAATTGTTGAATAATTCTGTTAAACAGCTCCCTCTCAATTAGGAGCTGACCTTTAGAGTGAAGAGTTATTTGTTGCCACATACATTGTACTGGCACAATATTGCCACCTGGGTGTTCCACGAGTCCTGAGGCAGCTTCCAGAATATCAGGAGATTGGCTTGAAAATAATCATGAGGTTTGGTGGCAGTTTGCCTACTATTTCAGCCATCCGGGTTAACCTTTTTTCAGGCTTCTCTCCACAATTTGAAGTCTAGAAGACAAACAATGCAAGCCAAGATTCTGATGTAGTCACATGATTCCAGAAGTTGGGGCTTTAGGAAAAGACACCAAATATAACAAGACTCCATAGGAAAGCTGGCCATGCTGGTTGCCTGTAGTTTGTTCATGTCACTGTTCTTGGAAGAAGTAAATGTTGAGGTTAAGTCTACGGACATTGGGCTGGACAAGGAGGTTTAGGAGTTTGCTGCATAGACTGTCACACCCCACCACCTCTGCACAAAAGTTAAGACGCAAGGAAGCCAGCAAACAATCATTGTCAATTGGCTCTCTAGAGACTGAGAAAGAAGATGTTGGCACCCCAGCGAAGATAAACAGCAAAGCTTTATTAGTCAAGTCATAATGTTTTCAAGTGCTGCAAGTGAAATGAGCATACAGCTGTGGCTGGTGCATGATCAGCACTACACCTATGTGATGGAGCAGTGGACCCTGGTTTCACTGCATAGGCTGCTCACCGGAGCTGCTGCCAGAATCTTGAGGCTTCAAGACATCAGGCAGCTCGGGGGTGCTGGAGAAGGGGTCGATGTGCAATGGCTCAAAGGAGCCCTCGCTGGCTCTGAATAAGGCCAAGCCCACCATGGCTGGCGCCTGGGGACGAGAGGTCTGACTGCTTAACCCACATTCTATCAAGGTCCTGTCACCATCCTCCAGCAACCAGTCATCCTTGTATAGCTGCTGCTCCTCCGGGGGCCTCTTCAGGATGCCCTCCACAATCTTCTTCAGCTCCTGCACGGTGGTCGTCTCCTTGGCATCAGCAAAGATGGTCATTTTGTGGCGACGGATCATCAAGAAGACATCCATTGCTGCTACGGGGGCTCCCGATGGTCTTCTGGTGCCAAGGGGCACCACGGCCTTGTGTGTTGAAGATACGAGACTCACAACTGAAATGAGAGAACAGAGTCATGTCACTGGAAGGGATCATTTGAGGAGGCCAGGAAGAGATCTGCCCATCACAGCCAATGAATGGCTTCACTCCTGTTCTGCCAGACAGGCTCTCTATAGTTATAAAGCAACAGAGTCATTTACTCATAGGCAGATGAGGTTTCCAAGGCATGTTCTGTTCATTACTTTCCGGTGTCGCTCATTTTAGTCCCAGGGTCCCCTACATTCTATCGAAATTTGGTGCCCTTTCACTTATGCAAACTATGTCAGATGCTCATGATGCTAAGACAGCAAAAAGATATTCACCCTAGAGGCAAAAATCCAATTGCATTTTATGTTTTCTGAGTGAATAGTTGCTCATCTATCCTTCATGTCAGGCCTCCCACATTCAGCCCTGGATAGATTGAGTGTTGGACCTAGGCTCCCTTGTATGAATGGTCTAGAAATGGATGGAGACAGTCAGTGACAAAAGTCAGCTACAGAATTAGAGTTCCCCTCCCATCCTCCTCCAGCTTCTGCTTAGACCTGGCAGAACCATTTCTGTGCCAGGTCAGATCTTATTCATGCATTTTAGGCAAAGAGCGGAGTCCTACCATTGTACTTACTATTAAAATAGTGTGCTAAGAGTTTGAAATCAAGGAGTACCAAGTCAAGCGACAAGCAACTAGCAGACCAAGTCTGCATTTACAGACCAGCAAAGTGAGGTGCTATTCAGAGCTGAAACACACACGACTTCAGAATGTCAGGGTACGTCTATACTTGGAGCTTAATTCCCAGCTCAAGGTGCCATACTTGAGTCATGCTACTTGAGCTAGTGTGCTAAAAATAACATCGAGCCACTGCAGCAGGGGCTAGCCACCATAAGTACTTAGCCACACTCTACATGGCTAGCCCCTTGTGCTGCTCATGCTGCCACACCTACACTCAGTTTTTAGTGCACTGAGTTGATCAGAGATAACATGGATATGCCTCTGTGACTCAGGGACCCCTTAGTACCAGTTGGCAGAGGGGGTGCATCCTGTTTTACAGGGATCCCTGGGTCAGATATCTGCATAGTCATTCACCAAAGGGTGACATGAGAGGTTTCTATCAAGAGCCAGCAGCCTGCTGGTTGTCAATCATTGCAAAATGTATTTTTGGATAATAGCTAAGAGTTGTAAAACTATTCTGCAAATAGTGTTCTTAAGGTCTTGGAGTTAAAGCAAGTCACCAGAGGGGACATACCTTGGAGAAATCTCTTCCAGGCAGGGGATAATAGACACCTATCTCCATGTCTGGCTATTTGTGTATTTTACACTTCACACTGTGAGGGTGTCTGTATACAGAGCTGGGGTGAATTGAGTGCAAAGCCCATGAGATGGTATCTACAAGAAGAAATAAACAGCAGGGGTGGGTGTGTCCTGTTTATGAATGAAGAGGAAGGATTGGTCTGGTATATCCTGGAGTGCAAAAAGACACACTGAATCCTATACCTGGGAGGCAAACAGACAGCATGTCTGTCTCATGAAAGGAGGGTCCCAGCGAGCCCGTCTGTAAAGCACTGCAAGTCTTTTGGGTGAGCGATACTCTACCCAGAGTATCGCTAAGTAACCAACTAAATTGCTCTAGAATACTTTATGATTGTGTGATATGTAACCATTTGTTTCTAATACTTCTACTTGAATCTTGCTAATACTTCTACTTGCTTTGCTAAATAAAACATACTTGATTTCACTACAAGCATATCTCAGTGCTGCGTGTTAAGTGGAGTAGTGATCTGAGGTGGCAATGGTAAGCTGCAATGAATGGTTTCTTTGGAAGCAGTGAATCTGTGTATGCCACAAGTGTCCACTGGGGTCTACGCCAGGGACCAGACACTCAGAGGTTGGGGTGTGCCCATCACTAACCTGTAGAGTAACAGTGCAGCCTGCATAGGCCTAGAGGGGTGTGCTTGTGTTGCCTGTGGAGCCAGGGAGCTGACCCATGGCAAGTCCCAGACTAAGGGCAGGTGGTAGCAAGCTGCTCAGAAAGTCATGTAGCCTTCTTGAGCTGGGAACTGCACCCCCAGCTTGAAGCCTAGACATTTCCTTAGAGACCAGCATCAGAGTTCTACAGCTTGAGTTCATCTCTGGTGTCATGGCCCCAGATCCTCAAGCGATATTTAGGAATCTAACTGCCATTGAAATCTTGGGAGTTTGGGGTCTAAGGAGGATCAGGTACAAAGCTCCGTCGGTTAAGAGATGGATGCATAGCACCAGCCATCTCTCTACTTCACCTCCCTGGAAGCCATAAATGAAAAGGTTTGCAAAGTTTGTGCCTATTTGAGTATTAATCCTCCAGCTGGAAAGAGGAGCATTTTAATTATGCTATTTTAAAAGTTGTTTTACCAGCTCCACTGATAAATATAGTAGCTGTGTAAGGGGAAACTAGAGCCAGACCTGAAGAAATGCCACTATTCTCCCTCGCACCCTCATCTAGCAGGCTTGTTAGAACTGAAGCAGCAGGCAGCTTACGTCAAGGTTCATCAAGAGAGATTCATTAGGAGCCATTCCAATACTACACATCCAGCAAACATAAGAGGAGCAGCAGGCAGGTGGGGATGTCACAAATAAAAGGAGAAACAGCTTTAAGTTGCTTGGCCATCACATGACAGCCAGTTTGCAGCAGAGAGCAGCTAGGCAAGCTGTGTCAGGAGGAGTTGTTGGTTGAGACAAATTTTAACTCAAGCCATGTTCCATTAACAATGAGCACTACAAAGGGCGCATTGCCAGCTCACTCTTGCACCCCAGGGGAAGAAGGTGCAGTGTATTTACACTGGTGCCACAGGGCATCCTGTTTTGACTTGTTTCTTGATCACAGTGGATTGATCATGTGTCAGCTAACACACAGTCCTGTGGAGGTATATTTAGGGGCTTGTCTACACAGGGCATGAAGGCCCACTATAGGGGAAGAATTGAACCTGGGTCTCCCACACCCCAGGTGAGTGCTCTGACCACTGGAATAAGCTTTATAAGGGAGCACCACCACCGCCTCCTGCTGCTCCCTTATAAAGCAGGCTCCTAATTTATTCCCACAGGAAATGCTGGAGGTGCCTAAGCCCAAAGGGTGAGTTCCCATTCCCTACGCAGAGCGAGTTGCCTCAGATGCCTCCCTACAGAGCAGATTAGCTCCAGGAGAGGGGCAGAATTTAGGACAGATCCCTCATCAGCACCTCCCAGTGCCTACCTTAGGCAGCCTGTGCCCCACCTAGCATGCTGCTTTGGTGGCTCACAGTCCAAGGCTTCTCTCTCTCCCCAGTCACTGTATTAGAGCCAAGGTGCCTAATTCAGGACCAGTGGATCACAGTGTTGTTCCTGTGATTTTCTAGGTGCCTAAAAGGATGTCAACGCCTCAGGGCCTTTGAGGAGTGAGCCTTCACCTCTGCCCTACCTCACAAGAGTGTTGGCAGTGAAGAGTGGGGTACTCAGATATCATGACAATGAGGTACAATTAACTCTCTTCTAGCTAGGGGATTTAACACACCATGCTTAAACCTACCATGCCAAAAGCTAGTTTTATATCAAAAGAGTTACTCTTAATTACAGCCGTTACCTAGCATGACTCCCATGTCTTGGTGACTGACAGCACCACAAGTTTTGGCAAGAGCTGGAAGCTACCTGGAAAGGAGAAGTTAGTCAAAGGAACCTCCACTTACACCAGCTCCCAGACACAGAGGATCACAATCCAAAAGAAAAAACTATCCAAGCCTTTATATTTTAAAGGATGACAACTTCAGGCAGAGTTGTTTTGTGAGCCATTGTCTTAGGCTGTTGACAGAGAGCTTAACAACTCCTTCACTAGCATTACTTTTGGTCACCATCTGCATTTCTCTCCATTTAAAGTAATAAAGTCCATAAGTAACCAATTTCGTAGTACTGTAACATCAGGGTGTGAAACACTGCAGGAAAGGTTTAATTTAAAGAGGACTGTTTGCATTGGAACATTTCAAGAACAGTTTGTAAAGACATTTCACCAAGCATCTGGCTCTATAGAGAGCTTGATTTGAAACCCCCCCCCCCCCAATATTTGCACCAAGTTGAACTGACGTTGTCCCTCTACGGTTTTTAGAGAAGAGGCAAGAATTGACAATGACCTTCAGAAGAGCTATTTCTCAGAACAAAGCCAAGCACAGGGAACAAGCCACAAAACACCAGCATGCTAAAGAGCTGCTAGCCTCACCACACACTGCAAGAACAAAAAGCCAAATAACATGGAGGAACTAGAGTTTCCTGCTTTAATCCTCCCCACCTCCTGATAGACTTACAAAAGCTCTACTCACCACTAACTCCTACCACAATTCTGTCCTCCTCTCTGCTCCAGGTCCACCAGCAGATATACACCCACCCCCAGTAACTGGTTTTATCTAAAGTCTTACCTCCACCACAGCTCTTTCACCTCTCCCCTGAACCGCAGGTTGGCCTAATCTCTTGTCAGTCATATGGGCTCTAATGAGTTCAGGTGTCTCAATCAAAGCCCCCAGGACTGCTGGGCAATGCAGGCTGATGGGAGGAGGGCAGGTCATTCTGCCTTGAGTTATTGAGTACCATGGACAATGCATTGCACCAAAGCCCCAGTCCAGCAAGCTGACCGAACCTGGCAGCCACAAATACTCCATTGCTGTCCCTCTCCCCTGTGCTGAGTGCCCTCCCTGCTCCCCTGCCCCGCCCCCCCCCCCCCCCCCCCCGCTCCTTTCCCTTGTCTTCAGCTAATCTCCTCCGAGCTAACCCCCACCCAAAGAAGCTAAAAAACAAAAGCAAACAAACAAAAATCCCCCCAAACCCCCCAACTTTTCCCCAAATGGTGGCACTAATATGCTGATCACTCTGCCTCCTGCCCCTTTTGCCTGTCTTGTCTATTTAACCTGCAAGGTCCTTGGGGAAGGGACTAGCTAGAGCCCTATG